TGTCTTCGCCTAGTGTCAAGACGCGCTCTCGTAAGGTCTCTGGCGGAAACTGCAAATATGATTTTCGCACATATAACAATCTGTTTTTTTTCGGTTATCACTCAAAAGTTCTGTGTATCATCTAAAATATAGTGGGCCTAAGCTTGTACCAAACGGTCACTAATTCTAAGACCTTTTTCAAAATCCGACTTTCAGCCTTCACATCGGTCCTTTGTGCAATTCTCTTCATTGCTTCCTCGTGCACATTTCATTTCTTCAATAAATCTAAATATATAATCCTTTTTCAAAAAGAGACATTTTGAGGTTAGAAAAAGTTCAACAAACATTTACTCGCATTTTGTTTCTGAGATGTCGTAAAAGATTAGCTTTCGATGAAATGCCTAAATATGAAGAACGCCTTAAGTCTTTGGCAATGAAGAGTCTGGAATTTAGACGAACTTATCTAGATCTTATTTTCGCTTTTCGCCTCCTTCGTAAGGAAATTAGGCTTAGCGCAAGTAAGTACTGGATTTTCAGACCTAGTAGTAGGACGGGTGGGTTTAACATTCATTACCCACGTATTTATAGGAAACGCTTTCTACGAACATTCAATACTCTTTTTTACAGAACACCTAGATGGCTTAGCAGGCTTCCACTTTCGACGTTATCATCTGTTGAATCAGCTGCTTTTAAACGTAGATTAGCGCAAGTTGACCTATTACAAGTTAAGGGTTTTCATAACTACTGAAACTATTTTCGCTTCCCGGTTTTTTTTCAGGAATGTCGCGTGCCTTTTTTCTGTCGTCCTCCAACACGACACATAATTGCACATAGTTTTTTGTTTGTTTGTAAAGTGTGGTGTTACTAACATTTGATATATATCATTATTTACGTTTTAGTTTTTTTCCTGTCACTAACCCCAATTTTCTGGCCGACCACACACCGCTAGGTTCGTCGTCCTGAAATTGACTTGAGAGTTTTCTTGGAGAACTTGACGTTCATGGACCACATGCTCCATGTCTGAGGGAAATTGCTTCATACATACATACATACATACATACATACATACATACGCGTCTGGCTTTTCCCCTGCTACTGTACTGGGTGTGTGGTCGATTGGTTATCTGCTGTGTTTTCTGCTCTTTTTTGGCGCACTTCTAAGTGCATTTAAATAAATAAATAAATAAATAAATATGGCAATAGTGGATATGTAGTCATTCTTATAACGTAAGCTACTTCAATAAATTTAGTTTTGCATGTGCTCACAATTCTTCTTTCAGCAGCTCCTTTGCAAGCCTTCTTTATGCAATAATATCGTCTGGAACAATGATTGCAAGCTTCTATGTAAGGTTTCACCAATCGTGTTTTATCAAAGAAGTGGATATGATACGCCATATTTTTATTCTGATCAGAGACTTTCCATGAAAAAAACATGTTTTAATGTTTAGAGAAAGTATTTTCATATCACCTTGTTGGCAGGCTACCATATGCTCAGCTGCTTGGCACTCTTAATCATCTCCATCTTCTTACTGAATACGAAACACTCTATGCACAAACACTTCGATATCTACACTTACGAGGAGGATGGAAGTATAGTAATACGTAAGAAATCTCTAACTGGATCAACTGTGTAGCTATGAACAAAGACCATGATAACCATTGGTGTAGATATATCTTTCGAGAGTCATTGGGCGTATACTACAAAATGTACAAAAACCTAATGAACGTAGCAAAAAGAAGGTAGAGACATTCTTGCCTATAAAAATAATAATTTTGGTCCTTGAACAATCCCTCTGCGCTTACAGATTTTTACTTGTTGCTGAACAGAAGCAAGTTATAAACTGAAGTGCCCAGGTCACAAGAGGAGAAGACCTATGATGTAATTTCGATCTTTTCTTGCTGTGGAGTCTGGTAATGCATTTGCGCTTATTTCGTGGGAACTATTGAGCCGTTAGGTCGTTTGGGCTTTCTATGAAACAATACTTCAGTATAAGATGCATTATGAGACAACTATCGGCCACAGATGACCCTTACACCTTGAATAAAAGTCTTCATAAACGCAAAAATTTCGTTCAATTAGGATTCGTACAATTAGTTACGATTTGAAATGTCAAAGCACTGAAATTCTCGGAAGTCATGACGAGCATGACGTTTGAGCAGAATCTGGGTGTACAGTTTCACCAAATCACCTCAAAAGGGACCATTTGCAGGATAAGCATCTCGCGGCACGACAACGAGCAGCACAACAAAGCTTTTTGAAATTTGTTCTTTAAATAGTCATACTGGCGGAAATATGTACTAGATCATTGGCGTGCTTTTCACATAAAGCTATGCATACACGCTGAGATGCTCTTTGCATATTGATGGACTTGGGAGAATATGTAACCATATCCAAGTCTTTGAAACTTTTGTGCTTTATTATCGAAAATGAAGCCGGAACTAGAAATTTGATGGATATCTGTAGAGCAATATAATCAAAATGTGTTATTTTCCAGAACGCTTTGATATCGTTGGCACCGAATGTAATAGGTTGCTCCATTCTCGTCTCTCATCGTTTGTGGGTGTAAGTCAAGAGGCGCTTTTCTTCCCAGATGGACACCATTAGCGCATTTTTAGGGTTTAATAACGTTCTAGAAGACATCTAAATTTCTAAAGAGATATGCAAGATCGTTTTCAGGGCTGCTTAACCTCATATCTTGAAATAACATGAATGTCGAAAGTTAAAACCAGCGAAAATACTAATTGCAATTTTGCGAAGATCTCAATCAATTCCTCTTCAAAAGCCATCAAACTTAGCAAGTGATAACTTTCTAAATTGGGGAAAAAAATCATCTTTGTTTTGATACTACGATGTTTTCCGTCAGTCTCCGACTAAAATGAAAATGGAAGGTGACCCCTTGGTTTTAAATTTGCTGTAGAATCAAAACTATCAGTAATACAAGTTTTGTTACCACTTATGAGTCAAGCAAAGCCTTGGCTGGTTGAACGTTTCTGTCAAAAGTTGCAGTTCCCAAAAAAGATGAACAATTGATGAGTCGCCTTCCATCGTAAGCTCGAAATTCTCAACTTTTTTGGAAACCTTTGACTGTCGTATAGTACCTTTCACAGCAAAAAAAATTTAGATGATCAAACCTATCACATTATCTATACTTTCGGATTGCGTAAATATCTTGCGAGGATCTGCCTCAAAATGATCGAAGCTTGACTAGTAATTTTCTTCAATTTTTTTCAGTTGGGATTCCTGTAGAGATGCCGTAAAGCACGATTTTCGCTACATAAGAAAGATAGTGCAGAACAAATTTGTTGGCATAGAAAAACAATAAAAGTTGTGAAGGAGCAATAGAACTGTCGGAACAACCTGACATCACATCATTTGCGGAAAGTGCATTTGTAGCGCGTCTAGCTTACGTAGGAGGACACCATTTTATCTCATTTGAGAATGGCGTTCAGGCTCTGATTAAGAAATAGATAATGACCTGTAATTGAAATGCTACAAAGCGACCCAAATCCGAGCACTCGTAAAGAGAATTTTTGAAGAAATTGTCTAAAAATGTCCGTATTCGAATTGCTAGCTTACTGATCGGTTTAAGCAGCTCGAACGCGTATGTGTAACACGTAGAACAAACGACCTTCCAAACAATTTCCTGATGATCTATTTTTCATTTTCCTTGACCGCACAAATGCGAACTGAGTGCTTGTCGTCAAATACATGTAATATGACGCTTATTTGTGAATTCATCAACCTATTCCTAGATAACTTTTTACTGTATAGAAAAGATTTATTTGGAATGCTTAATGTTATTATATTTTGTGATCTTAATCTATTAAGCTAGCTTGAGTCAAGGGTTAGAATTCGCTCTGTCTCCGAGGGTAAGGTACAATTAAGAAAGGAACACGAAAATACATAAGTCACTGAGCATTTACTGGGGCAATCTGCCGAGCAATCATCGAGATCGTCAAAACTCCCTTTCCACCAGTAGACGCTGAAAGTGGGGAGAATTGACGGGCGAAAATTTGCAGTATTCAAAGGCAAAGTCCATCCATTCAAAATTTTGCTTTTCATGTTTTCGCCATTCCGGGGCCTTTCCGTGGCCAAAGTTTAAACGGTCCGAAACCCTTCGAAAAACCCGATTCCTGAGGACCCTGTCTTGAGGGCGAGGGCGGCTTTCAGTACGTGGGTGGGCGGAGTCTGATAGGATCTCGGCAAGGACTGACAGCACTTCGACTGTTCCAGGCCCTTTATCTCCATTCAAAGACAACATTAGTGGACCGGACCACGCAGATGCCCCTTTCGTGGGCCTACATTCAGAATCGACCCTGATCGGAGGGAGCTAGATTTAGACTGAATACTGCCTTTGAGCACAACGTCTAATCTGTCTCAGTTCACCTACCATTGAATCTGCGTCAACTGGGACACCATTATTAAATTAGCTATTAAAAATACATATATATGCCTATCCTTGTATGGGATTAGTATGTCCAAATAGACGGTCTTGAAGAAAACGAGAATTTTCTGAAATTTCCCTTATCTCCTGCTTGCCTTTTCATATGGTATGTTGTATTTATAATAGCCATAAACTCGTAATCCAGCGAGATTTATTCAAAAAGTTGATCTTGAAGAAAATTATAACATTTTAAATCAAGGAAACCGCAAAAACGGAAGAAATTTCAAAACAACCCAATTTAGACCCTAAACGTTATCTTTGTCTACTCGTCATTCAAAAGCCAATGTCAATCAAACGCTATGATAGACACTGCTTCCGATAAAGCGACACAAAAAAAAATAGGTGACAAATTCTAAGTACTTGGGATTTCTTCAAAATATGGATCCAATTAACCTGATTTTAATGAAGTTTCTTTCTTATCCTTTTGTGCCTCTTTTGCCGTCAAAAATGATTCTAACAGAAAAAATTCCATTCAAAAAACAACTAAAAAGTTGTGTACCTTGGAATGGCGGAGTCAGAAAGCTAAGTACGATAAGCCTAACATTTGATCAAACAAAACACAATACCGTTTACATTGTTTTATTATAAGCAATAACTCAATGAAGAATAAAATAGTATACATATTCGTATGTCAGTGTGAGTCCATGGAATTTTGCAGAATAGTCATTATTCCCAAGCATTATTGTATTTGAAACGATTTTCATTGACGAAACGATTGTTGTAAGGATTGTAAGAAGAATTGGAAATCGGAGTCTTCCTTTCAGATCCACTTTCAGATTCGACAAATGACGTTTTTATAAACATAGAGAGCATAAAGAGAGGTGAGATGACTACATTGACGAGTATAAGCACCCAAGATACGACGAATTGTTTCTATAAAATAATGGCTAGTACTCACAAAAGAAAAATCTCAAAAACCCACATTGATATTGTCTTTGAGACACTTTATATCCAGTTTAGCAGCAATAGCAATTAACATCGCTACTGATTCTATGATTGCCAAAACTACAGTTGAAGCTATCATTCTAAAAAAATTTTAAGAAGCTGATTTGGATAATACAATGAAAAGGGTGGAAACACTCACATAGTTAGAATTTTCTTCACTTTTTCGTAATCCTTCGAGAACATCAATGCCATTCCTGCACATCCCGAAAAAAGTGAGATAGCTAGGAAGCTTATGGTTCCGAAAACTGAAAACATATGGAGCATTAGGTTATTATATGTATTTTGTATTTATTGGCGAATTCTCAGCAAAAAGCACATATTTGAAAGCCAAAAGCAAACAATTCTTTGGACAAGTTTGCTTTAGAGACTTTTTGGTCTTTATTCGATTTCCTGTCAGGGCGCAAGCTTAATTATTAATGACTGAATTTTTGCCTTTCAGAAATCCGCGATCATAACGCGCATTCAAAAAGAGACTCTGCTGGATTTCTCATAATTATTTTCTTATTTATCCATCAAAGTGCCATGTGTTTCTTTCGACTTAAATATTAATAATGAATTCTGTGTGTTAGTTGTGTGATTGTTTCTTTTCTTAGAAGCGTCCATAGTTATCCATGCCAGCATCGTTCCAGCGTCGTGCTAGCACTTGCAGGAAAGTCGATCAATCGATAAGTGCGTCTGCATAGGTTCCGGCACTGCTCTGGAACGGCTTGAACACAGCCCCCGGAACAGCGCTAAAATGCCTTTTTGCACAGCGACGGCACACAACTCTGGATGCTGCTTCATTTGAGTCATTCGCTGTGACCACAGCGAATGACTCAAACCGTCTGACTCATTGCTGAAAGTAACAAATTGTTCTCAGTCGTTACAATTTGATTATTTCCTTGAGCCTAGGCTTTTGTTGGGAAACTTGGCCCCCCATATGAAGAGCGAATAACAGTAGTTTCTTTCCACGCACATAAACACTATGGGAGATAAGACATGACATCTCACGTCACCAGCAAAACGGAGGTTTGAAATTTTCTGACTCATTGCTGAAAGATGGCGGCTGGCATTCAGTAAAGGTCCTTGTATAAAAACAAAACTAAGTCTTTTTGAAAAATGTTACGAGCACTGGAAAGCCTAAATTTGTGCCGAAGTTATCCTACATTAGGGGTACTTCTACTACAAAAGCAACCTTCACTGCTTGACACTTAGTTGGTCACTGTAATAACTGAAAATTCTTGAGACTAGTTTCCATGTGCGGCTTATGGTAGCTATTCTCTTGCCTTCGCAGCGAGTTTAGTTGCCCACGTTAGGCGGTCGACGTTTAGGGTTATCAACTTGTGTGTCCACTTTAGAATTTGAGCTATTCATGTCGAATACATTTCCAAAAAATTATGATGGATTTTGAAGGATTTTTGATTTTGACCAACATTTTGCATGTTGTCTTACATTCTGTGCAGTTCACTATTTTTAAAGGTTTGCAAAAGTTTTCTTGACCTGGAACAGCGGTTCGAGGAGATCGAAGACTCTTCAGCTATCTTCCTAAAGGGGGGGGGGTAGATGCCTTCCGTTGGCAGCGGCAGGTGTTATGTCTACATCCATTAATGGGGTTTTCCCAGCTCGGCGGCCGGTTAAGTTACTCAACTTTTTTTTGCGTTTCAAAACAACAATGGCCGTATTCATCAACGAACCCTTGTATTCCGGAACCAATTGGGTAAGCTTACCCAAAAAATCCGTATTTACGAAGCTAGTAGGTTAACGAACCCAGCAGGGCTCTTTAGTGAATATCGATCCAATCTAGTGGCACTTTTTCGCTTACCCACTGGGTAGCGAAACCCAATGGGTTCGTTGATGAATACGGCCCAAGGATTGGATCACTTGTCCTTTCCTGATTTCCTTTCATTTTCCGTTTTGATGCACTTTTGTGTATTGAATGAACTAATTAATTAAGTACTTCTCTCGTTAATGGAAGAAATGAAGAGATTACGGAAATGATAGATTATCCTTGTAGTTCAGACGATGAACTAGTATCTTTTTTAAACGTAATTTTGCGCGTCCTTGCTTCGACCAACATCTTGTAGAATAATTATCAAAAAATGGGCTAAAAACAAAGTGCGGAATATATTATAAATTTGTTCCTATAGAGTTTTATCTTAAATATCTAAAGCTTTATCTAAAGTCTTTTATCTAAAGCTTTTCGAGGCTATTTATGGCCTATGTAATGTAGGTTCATGATAGTCGCCATCATTCCTGCGACTCATCGAAAATGTGCATATTTGTTGAGTAATATTTTCAACAAAGCCGTGGTGTGTTAACCGCCTTCATTCTTGAGGCTAAATTCTTTTTGAAGGACCAAAATTTTGCAATCTTTCTTCTTGTAATGAAATGTTTCGAGATGCTTTAGGTACCACTTTGTAGAGCGAGGTCAAACTTAGATTTACAGTGCGATACGAAATATCGATCGCTCTTCATTATGTAAGATTTGTTAAGAACTTATTTGTTAAGAACTCCAGCATATGGAACCATTATGAATTATTTTATATCACCTAACAAAACTTTTTCCGAAAAATCTGAAAAATCGTCTACTTGGGTTTTCGCGCACGCTGATTCCACTACACAATTTTTACAAGGTTTTTAGCATTTTTGACGGTGTAATCACATTTTTGACAATTGTTGGGGAAAATCAGTCATGGCGGTTTACATGGGATAACTTGGGAAAGAAGCATCACAGTAATACGGGAATTTCAAATTCGAAATCAGAGGCTCTCATTACCACAGTATAAAAGTATTGCCTTGTTTGGTTTTGTTCCGAGGCAGAATATAGCCTCGAATGGCCTAAAATCCTCGTAGAAATTCGTACCGTAATCCTACAGTAACGAAAAGCGATAGATGATTCGCTCCATACTGTAAATCTAAAACCCCACTCTACAAAGTGGTACCTAAAGCTTCTCGAAAAACTTCATCACAAGAAAGTTATTTATAATTAAACAGTAAGCACATCTTCTTGGGACACCCTGTATATTTCTACTTGATTTGCGTACGTTAAAAATCGCTTGATCTAACTTTGTTGAAGCAAGAGAGCTTCTTGAGATCAATTTAAAAATTTATGCGAAATCAAAAGTGTTGAAGGTTGGTATTTCCACGCTAGATTAAAGGTTAATGATTTGATTACCATGTTAGCTAAGAGTACATTACCTTGAACTTACATGAGAGCGCCGTCATAAAGGAGCCGCTTCCCGCACATTTATCCTTAAGCTTGTCATCCTTTAAGTCCGTGATCCAAACTATACTATTGTACAAATGCATTGCAAATAACACAGTCGAGAAAACTCCGAAGGCTACCGCTATAGAGAAAGATAGGGTTAACGTATTCATAATGGGGGGTCCTGAAATTTTTGAGACTTTATTCTAAAATAACCCAAACACATTGAACAGGATATTTTAAGTAGTAAGCTTTGAAAGAGATGTAAACGTTGAATAGCTGAAGGCATGTGCAGTGAAATTCAAAATACAGAAATTCAACAATATATATATATATAAATTTTACAAAAATCAGAGCTGGCGTATGTGAGTAAGCTAGCGATAGGGCTTCGAAAGTATTACATATCAATAAGCATTCTTTTAGCACATACATTGCCTTATCAATAGATAAATACCGGCGATCTTTTTTGCTGTATAATCGATAGTGCGGCGTTTTCAGATGTCGGCTAAATGGTCATCTTAGTCAAAAATTCAAAATATTTTTGACATTAAAATTCGTTGAGTCATATTTTTACTTATTTAACCTTGGCATTTCCGCAGCTATTTAAGATAACGCAAAATGCTCCACTCTGACGCACAAAGGGACGTATTGGCATTAGAAATAACAAGATAAAAAATAAAATGTTCTTTTCTCTTTCAGAACGCATTCTCAAGGATTGGAATGATCTTCTCTTTCTTGGAATTTTTTTGTGAATTTCATATTTACAAGTGAATTAAGTGTTCTTTGTAGGCTTTGATAGAGATAAGGCAATCAGCGCTCCAGGAATTTGGTAGCAGTAGTCTGAGAGTGCGAAGCAGTTCTGTAAAAATTTGCCAGATAGATATTTTTTGACACTGTCAAAGCAGCAAAAATAAATTAGCGAAAGCCACAAATTGAACAATATCAAGGTGTTCATACGACACAACCACAGAAAACCAGCAGGTGTGGATACGTACCATCATAATGTTTTTTCAGAAGGCTTGATGATTCTGCTATGAAATTCGTAGAAGAAAAATTTGAAAATAAAACAATGATTAGTTGATAATTATCACAAACATGTTTGTACAGGGAATCTGAATATACAGGACGAAAAGCTGAGAAATCTTTTCAAATTAAGAATTATATTGAATTTATGAGTGATTACCAAACGTTAATTTCTTGACAGTATTAAATGGCTTGTGTTCAGTTAGCATTTGAGTATATTCGGAAATACGAAGCTAGCCACACTATCATAGTTCAACTTGCTTGTGAAGTGAGTGAGCACATCGTTAAAGTTTTGAATGCAATAAACCTTAGCTGGAATCATAGAGAAGGAAATGGAGCAGTCGGCAACAAATGGATACATACACTCAAGTGTTCACTACACTGAGAGAAAACGATGTATTGTAAAAACAAAAAAGAGTCCGAATAGCTTAAACAGTAAGTTCGACGAATGTTACATAGTTGCTAGAATATATAGCATCTCAAAAATGCGTGAAACTCGAAGCAAGTTTAGATTCATTACTAGTGTCAAATGGAATACTTTGAAGCTTTTGACTAAGACACCGCGATTAGTACTTGCCCACATAAACATTTTCAAAATTACTGCAAAGCTATTTGGCAGAGAACAGTACAAGAAACATTTTAGGTTATATATAATTAGCCAAGTGCGAGAACGAAGAACTGCCTATGAGAGCTTTGGGATATATCCGGCTTATTCCTCTAGCCTTTCACAAACTAAAAAAATGGTCTCATAAAATTATAATCATATGCATGGAAGGTTACAAATACATCAGCATGCATGGCAATCGAGTGACATATGCTAGCACAGACACAACATAAGGCAGTTATTATCAAATCGAAGGCATAATATATAAA